ATTCCGTAAGTGCTCGCGACTCTATAAAGTGTTTTCCCAGCGGCTGTGTTGGAGAATCAAAATAATAAAAAATATTTCCATAAAAATGAATTTTACAATAAATCGGAGCGATTTTCAACCTCAATAAAGAATTAGAACTCTAACAATCGACATGTGGTGGGTGATTACCATAAGCAATTCAACAAAATATCAGCGGTTATTTTATCTCAGAACTTCTCAGAGAGTGATTCATTTTAGCAAGCAAATTTTAATCTCTATCAATAGTATATAAACAACAACGACGAAGAAGAATCTTAACAAAAATTATTCGTAGTATGAGCAGATATGACTAAACGTCACGCAAATAATGGTGTCTACCTCCGTTTGCATTATGTTATGTCGTACAGCTAAATCAACAGAGATCGTAGTTCATAAAGTCACGACACTTTTAACGTCCGATTGTCGACTAAAACGTTGAGACAAGGAGAACTCGTTACTTAGCTCGGATAACCTTCAAGCTTTTTCAGTTCGTCTGTTTTCAAAATTTAAACTTACTGTCTGAAAGTTGTTTCAGGTCCAGGGCGGTCGGACCAAGTACGTGATCGTTCGACGGCGTTTTATTTAGTCGCAAGATGTACCTTTTAATTTCTTTAAATTGACTGAATAGACAGACAGAAGCTGAGCTCGTCAATTTTCCATTAATCGAAACTCCACAACTCGCATTCTACGCACACCTATTTCTTACATCAATACACTGATGTATTTCTTTGAGCTTTGTTATTTTTCGCTCACAATTCCGAAAAAGCTTATCAGAATATCTCCTCTTGGAAACGTGACCTTGACTAGATTTTTTACTCCAGTTTGTTGTCTTCCTTTGCCCACTTTATATTGAATCCCGGAACTGAACTATTGGAACGTTTTAATTATTTATTCAGAATATTTTTCCTTTTTGGATTGCCATGAATACCTTGTCACGATGGTCGGTTGCTAGGGCTTCTGCTCCCGTTTGGTTCTTAAATTCAATTTCTGGCTTACAGAGGGGTAGTTTATATTTCAAATGAAGCAAAACATTAGAACATTTTAATTGGAGAAAAGTTTTCTTTAAATTTTTACAATTGTAAAGGTATTTTTGACTTTTCTTGAAAGTATGACGTCATAAGTGACACCTATTTTTAGTGACAACGTTAAAAATTTGATAAGCAGTGTTCAAAATGCTACAAACATTTTTGTTACAGAAAAACAATATTTACAGTGAAAACCCCATCTCAATCGGATAAAATGGCGTGAAGTTACAGGTAATTAAAGAAATTCAAATTTCCCGCCTCATGACCATATATGGTCAAACTTTAGGGGTATTTTAACGCGAAAACAATGAATGTATTTACAACGGAAAAAAGACAAAGCTGCATAAAATCAAAATTGTAGTTTTTTGAATTCGGCATATGTGGTGCTATGACGCGTATTTCGTCACAAATTACGTCATTATGACGTCAAAATGACGTAATTCGTGACGAAATACGCGTCATAGACCACACATCCTAAACTCAAAAAACTACAATTTTGTTTTTATGCAAATTTGTCTTTTCTCCGTTGCGACTACCTTCATTGTTTTCGCGTTAAAATACCCCTAAAGTTTGACCATATATGGTCATTTGGCGGGAAATTTGAATTTCTTTAATTAAATGTAACTTTGCGCCTTTTCATCCGATTGAGATGGGGTTTTCACCAGAAATCATAGAATTCTATACAGAAAACTAATGTAAAGTTTTTAGCATTTCTTTCCTGAATTTTCTTTCTGATGCCAAATTTGGACATCATTTATGACGTCACAATAGAAGTCACATGGGATGAAATAAACACCAATAAATAGGTAATTTATCAACTTACTTCCTTGCCAAGTTTTGTTACATTCGATGCATTCTACTTCTTTCTATGGCCTTAAACTCTCAGTTTTGAGAGGTGTGGGAGCAAAGGCCCTAGCAACCGACCACCGTGTGTCTAATTCTGGCCGGGGGAGAAGCACGGCGCGGTGGCTCAGCTGTTTCGGCAGTGTGGAACTGGGTCCGAATGCATTAAAGCTGATACGTCCGACGTTAAAGTCCGACGTTAGACGTATGTTTGACGTTGTTTGGAACCTGTAGTGACATCTACGCCTGACTTACACCAGGCGTTGACGAAGGTTACACCAAGAAGACGTTCCGGCGGGCACCATCGGTTGCAGTATATTTGTGAACTTTTATTTTTACATACTTTTGAGTCCTAATTTCGTCCTCGTTTCAAAATGGCACAAAACGTAAGCACCAAGAGAAAATGATAGTCACGGGTACGGTGTAACTCCGTTCATGCAACCGGCCTCTGGAGAAAATGGAGCAGTACATTGAACACGTTATGCGAATACTCTTCTATATCAGAATAAACATCCCTTCATATCCGTTAAACTGTTCTGTTCTGAACTGTTCATAGAGGTAAGCATGTTTGGAGGTCGGAGATAGTTTGAATGAATAATAAACAGTTATTGGAATGGGTTCGTTTTTTTTTTTTAGCTTGACTGACTTAGCTTAGCTTATTAATTGGCTAACTTCGCTCCTACTGAGCAAGTATATACGACACTTCTTATTACGCTCGAGGACTTATAAATGGACTGAAGAAATAAATGAACAGACCTCGTTATTTATTTATTTATTTATTTATTTATTTATTTTTGTCATCCCAGTTCCCAGACTCTTTCAGGAAAAATTGGGAAAAGCGGCACCTCTGAGCTAACTTGTTAAAACTTCGATTCATAAGCTAAAACTGAGATCTTTGTAGCCCGTTCCAGGCCTGTCTCCCCTCGTTTTCCCTGCCTACAATTTAACTCGCTACCCACCATCGAACTCCGCGCTCTACTATCTGAACGCGCCTAGAACAGGCTAAGATCTTTAGGGTTCTTTTGACGAATTTAGTGACAAGATGTTCACGCCAAGAAGTCTGAAAGTTTTCAACTTTCCAGGATCACTTCAAAATGTGATTTAACGTCATGTTCGTGGTGACATAATTATGTAAACTGAAACTAAAGACCTACAAAGTAATAAACGAAGATAGACATATAAAATAAACATTTCTAAATTTTTACAGAAGTGGAATACATACTTTGTGTTTAAAATTTTATCATTAGCTCGGTCCACACTGTATAAGAAAGCTGAAGCTATTTCATTTTCAATAAAGATCTTGTCGATAAATTAAACAACGAAATAAGTCATATCTTCAAATAATATTAACTTTCAAATGCTAATGATGTCTTTGTTTCCAAGCCAAAAATATATTTGCAGTAAAATATGAAAAAAATATGTAACTATGAAGAACTGCGTAGCATCCGAAATGAAAACAAACTATCGCATATTACTTATTTAATTGGCTTACCATGATTTGAATTCTGAAACCGAATTTTCATGTGCTTTATGAAACAGAGTAAAGACAGAAAACTGAGAATATAACTTGTATTGCAGCTGTTTTTCAAGGAAGAATATTTGCATATCTCTCACCCATACTTCTGAAGAGAGAAAATAAATTACACTTTTGAGTAACAAATTAAGCGATAGGAAGCCTAGGAAATGGAGATTAATCAATTTAAAAGTTTGAAGTGCAAAGAATAAATTTGAATATATAAAAAAATAATTGTTTTGAAACGATTGCTGACAAAACGCCTTCCCGTTAAGTGAACCGTGGCAAAATGCAATATTTTCAAGTGTTTTCTAGTTCCATATCGAAATTTTCCATTACGCTGGTAATTTTTAATCGATGAAATCTCACAAGAGAAGCAAGAAAAGAGCATTCAGTCTTCCTTCAGTGTCATTCAAGGTTAGCTTCTTAATTTGTTTTTGTTTTCGTTCCGAGTAACGATTTCTCATGCAATCGATAACTCGTTTGATTTTTACTGTAGACTGGCAGTTAAGCCGAAAAAAGTCTGTGTGTCGAGTTTGGGAAAATTAGTGGGATATTGAAAATTTCAAAGGTCTCCTTGTGAAATAATATTCAACCATCAAAATGCCTGACAGAACCTATTTTCGCATTAATTCGGGTTTCTCTCTACAGTCAAACACATCGTTTCCCTTGTGATGTTTATTTATAATTTTGGAAAATCACTGTCTTCTTTGTTTTCATTTGTATTTCGTGTGTCGATTTATTTGTTTTCCATAGCTGTCGTAGCCTGTACATTGCTGTACTTTGTTAGGCAAATCCTTGGTTAAAATTAGCAGCCTGATCGTGTAAAAGTCGACTTTACATAATGTTTAACCTTCTAGCTCTCATATAACATGCTAGTATGTGTAATATGGGTGTGGTCTCCTGCTCCAGATCAGATCAAGGGATAGTGAATCACGATAGTTAGACAACTATGCCTCTGGTAAAATTTTGATCCGATCTCGAAAAACAAGGACGCTAATTTTAATGCGTCTCAAAGCCTCGTTTGTCGTGTTTCTTTCCTTGAAGTCTCGGATTTTTAAACATGGGTCTCGGCAGGAGTCTCGCCGTTCACGCCACCTCTAGCTAAATTAAACGACCTGAATCAAATTAATAATCTGGTAATTCGACATTTCGGATTCCGGAATCCGGGAAATTTAAGGAGAAGAAGAAACTTTATTTATTTACATTCACAATAAATAAATTACAAATACAGGCTACCTGCAAAATAGCAGAGCTAATCGAGGCAGGTAGTATGGAGACGTGTCTATTACATTAAATACAATCTTATTCTAATGACATAAAGATATACAATAAATACGAAATTAAATTTTGCTTGTGGGATTCGGAATCCTGGGCTTTGGAATCCAGAATACAGCTCAAACCGGAATCCGGAATCACTCTAACGATTGGAATCCAGAGTCTAAGTTCCACTGACCAAGAACCCGGGATTCAGTACCTGGACGATCCGGAATCCACGGCGTGGAATAAAGAATTTAAGACTCTCTTGGATTTCCATACATGGGGCAAGCCATAGGAGTAGCCATCTTAACGTGTCGTCTTCGTTTTGCTTTATTTCTTAGCAGGGTGAAAATATTGGAAACAAGCTTCTTCTTGAATATCCATGTCCTGCAACAGAACGCTACAAATTGTTAGTGGTGGGAGATGACGGATGTGGGAAAACGAGTCTCCTCAACGCGCTTGTCAAAAGCGACTTTGATGTAAGTGTTAATCTGTTTAATCAATATCATATTGCGTCTTCTATAACTCTAATAGTGCAGTAGAGATAACGTCGTATGTACAGTACGTTTTCGCACATTCAGAACACCAATCAGGGAGCAAAAAGCATAATAATTTTTTTGGTGATTTTTGCAGGCATAGCCAAAAACTTGAAAAAAGTTGATTCAACCTTTTAAATTTTCAATCCATGCCTATCACTGGCATCCGTCGCAACAAACGACAGTAAACAGTTTCAATTACCGAATACAATCTTAAATAACAAAACTGGGCCATTGTTTTTGGAATTCAATCGATTCGAAGACATGTTTCAGCTTCTCTTTTTTCTAAATGGCGTGAAATAACCTTTTTGACTCAAGTTTACAATGACTGTAAAAGTCAAAGCTAGGGTGAACTTGTTTTAACCATAGGTACCCACCAGATAGGTGGGTATATTATTTTTGGTCTATCTGTAGCAAAACCTTGTATTTTTTGTGAACAGGTTCCCTTTGAGGCGTTTTAAATAGAATTAATTTTTGATAAATATTTAGTCAGATAAAAAACGCTATAATTTAAAGAACTTTTATTCATTGCTCTGTGATTTCAGAACTTCAACACCAATAAAAGTGTAAGAAAATTACAATAAAGTTTTCATAAAATTTAAGAGACAAAGCAGCCAGCTGAGGAACTGTAGAATTTTCTTTTAAGCCGTATTTACTTTTTGTCCTTTGTAGGCAGAGGAGACGATATCTTGCATTTTTGATGAGTGTGTGGCAGACGTTATAACGGAAGGAAGTAGAATGGAATTAATGCTGTGGGAAATATCTGGTACGGAACGTATCCATATTGGCCGCCACTAGCCATCTTCTCATAGCTGTTATACTTTCTAGATTTAGCTTATTTACTGAACTGATCTTGCTCCTCGGCTCATTTTTCTGGTCATTTGCTCATTTTGTGATAAATTATTATAAATAACTATTATAAATTTTAAATGACAAATAATAAATAAATTTTAAATTATCAGTTTTAATTAATAATTGGTGTTGCTACAACCAAGATGATCACGAACTTGTGAGTCCTGATTGATGATTGGCGATATCATTTGTATATTTGTAATCATACCAAGTTCATTAATACAATGCCTTTTTTAGGCCTTGAAGACTACGAGAGCATAAGACGAGAGATGTACAGAGATTCTGACGTCATACTGATATGTTTTGACATCGGCCATCCCCCGTCTTTACAAAGCGTTGTAAGCAAGGTATTCTTAAAATTCTGCTGTTGCTGCAGCCTTTAATTTCTTTGCTTAGGTGCTTAGTCACCCTTTATTGATATCTTACAGTGGATGCCAGAAATAAGTGACGCATGCCCAGGAGTACCTTACTTACTAATTGGCTGTAAGAATGACTTGCGCAGTGATGCTGCCCTTCAGTATTATTTGACTGTACCAGGACAAGAATCAGAAGAGCGCGACAGTGTAACAAGAGTTCAGGTATGTTTCAAGGAATCTTACATAAGCTTACTGTGCTGGGAACTGATTTGAGTAAATGAACATCTCATGGCTAATCCGAATGTTTCGTTCTTAAGAGGCAAGGCCACAAGCTTTTCTTCAGATTTGGCAGCTATGTTGGAGAATGCCAGCGTGAACTCGACCAGCCGTTCTTTTCTTTGCTGGTTGGTATGCTTGTTGGCTAACACACAGTGTTCTCCAATCTGTTAATTAGTATATTGTAGATTTGTATAATTTATTCTCTCTCCAAGTTAAACAGTGATTTTTCTTCTGCGTTTACTCCTGATTCAATCTTGTTTAACCGGCCTTCCCTTTTGTTTATAGGCTGTCTCTGTGGCGCAGTCAATAATGGCTCGTGATTATGTCGAGTGCTGTGCCAAAACGCGGTGGAATGTGTCGAAAGTGTTCAAGAGTGCTGCGGAAGCTATTTTGCACAAGGACGACGAAAAATTAGAAGAGACTAAATCACAATCTGTACTTCGGCGGTTTTCGTGGTTTACTCGGAGATCTTCGGGGTCTGATATTACTGACTGTCACACCGTTGTTCGTTCGGTATCGGGAAATCGGAGGCTTTCTTTGTTTTCAACCAGCTGATAGAAAATGCTAACAGTTCCACTCTCACAAGGAAGGACTTGTTTGATCTGTGATAATATGGTAAACCTTGACGCAAGTATAGTGGCATGATTCCTTCTATTCGTGAAGGTTCGTACGTAAAGATACTTCAGAAACCACCATGTACGTAGGGAACAATTACA